CCGTGGGGAAATTACTTGAAAGGTATACAATAGTCCTGCAATAAATCCTCTCTTCATAAAAGTTGTAATCTTCGGTTTTTGTTGAAAGTGTTTCAGAAAGAACCAAAAACATTGTTACTTAATCATAAAACACAAATAAAAGCTGCAAATTCATACATTTATAAGATAGAAGATGGAACAAGAAACTGTTTGATATTTTTGCTTAATCTGTTTTCAAAATTATTGTCAAACACTTTTGCGTGTGATTAATTGTTCAATTTGATATTCGATGATTCTAACAGCCCTGAGAGCGTCTCTAGCTGAGTCTCTATTTCTCTTCCAAAATGGTTTCCTCCCCTTCATCATCCTCCTCTCTGCAGCCCATCTGTGTCATTCTAACACTCCGTTTTTAACACTTCTCTCCTTCTCACCTGCCATCCTGCCTTTCACATATACACAACCCGTTTCACATAACGTACCCACAATCCCCAACCAATCAACACATCCAAGCGCACACATCTTTAAACACTGATAAATACATTCACGCACTTGACTTTCACACCCTCCCAAGCCTTCCCACTTCTCTTTTCTTCGTCTTGATCTTATCTCCTTCACAGGTGTGTGTGTGTGTGTGTGTGTTTGATAGTGTGAGACAGCCAGTGTCATTCTGCCAAACTGTGTCTTAAGATGATGTCAGATGTGGGCTGCTGGCCCGCCTCCAGATGGATCTAAACTCTCCCATTGGAGGATGAGTCTTGTAGCTGGCTGTGCCAAAGCGCCAAAGGGGGAAGAGGATTGGATGAAATCGAGACTTGAGCGACACCGATGAGCTGCAATTTCATTAATCATCCTCTGACTGATGCTGCATTCATTGTGATTGCTAGTGTACCAGGAAAGACACAACTCGGAGTGACTCAACAGTTAATAAAAGCACTGACTCGGATGTATTCATGTATGTGAAACTGTTAAGATCAAAGGTTTTTTTTACTCATAAAGGGATATTCTGCCCAAAGATCTGTCTGTAAGCTTAAAAGGT